CGGTGATAATAGTTTATGGAATTAATTAGGGTTCTATATCATTCATACATTATTATATTCAAATATAATGTATGCTAAATTTTAATACATATTCGAACAAACTAGAAAAAATTCTAAAAAATTAATTTACCTAACCACATCTGAATTTGCATTAATTTTGTCGATTGAAAGTATAACTCTAGAGGATTCGACAACGTTAAGTTGCTATAAATGTGGAAACTCTTGTACCCTCCAATGAAATACGATATCTAAATTTTTGAATGAACCGAAAAAAAGATTTATCTTAATGACCAAAAATGGTCCATTAAAAGGAACATATTCCGGTGATGGAGAATACAAAGTTGACTATCTTTAGCCATGCAAAAAGAAGAGATAATTTATAAATCAAGATGCATATATTCCTTCTCAAGGGTTATAAAAAGAGAGCACATGCATGTGAGGAATGAAACAAACATATAGAGAGTAATGAGGAAGAGAGGTCTAACATGGCGAAAAGAGTCATGTTTAGTAGCCAAGGATGACTTGCCTGCTCTTTTTCACCTTCATGATTCAATTCTAAGTTAATGAGTTTTGGATTATTATACATTTTAGAAGTATAATAATTTGAAGATCATTTTGAATCTTGCGGGTTAGGTTTCAGGCAGTCTCCTTGGCTATTTTGACATGCTTTTTTCATTCATGTTATACCTATATCCTATCTATTTTTTTTCTTTCGAATCCATATTAACTTTATTATAAACTACTACAAAATCGTTTGATATCAATCTTTGATAAAGTGCTGGTTCTACCGTTTCTGTTAGAAATCAATGTGGTGAGTATATGCATTGTCTAGAAGGAGATGCCAAAGATGAATAGGAGAATCATATTTGGTAGCCAAGGATGACTTGCCAGCTTCTTTGAGAAGTAAAATGGTTAGTGTCATGTTTGGGAAGTGACTATAGGTTATCTCATATCTCATTTAATGACCATTTTGCTAATAGAATATCAGGCAGTCTCCTTGGCTATCCTTATATGTTCTTCTCTCTCTCTCATCTCAGACATTTACCTTCATCCAATTTAGAGAGACACTTCATGAAAGATCATGGAAACAATTTTGATCACTTTGAACTTTCTATATGTGTGTGTGTGTGTTTTACATTTTGCGTATACACCAAT